CAATGGGTGCAGGTTAAAAATTGTACTAGCCTCTGTGTTACCCTTTCGTATGTTCCTACACCTGAAAAATTAGCGACGGAAAGACAAAGTGGGAAATCTGAACCGTCGTTTGCTTCCTGTTTTTTATTCATTTTCTGTCTTGTTTTGGTTTTTGCGGAGTATAAGTGGCCTTGCACTGATCACAAGTGGCTGGGAGCCAAATTGGTCCCTGGTGTATAACTCCACTGAAGCTGTTGGAGTTAGAGCAGGGGTGAATTGTGCCCAGTGAGATCAGAGGGTTTGGGAGGCAGATCTAGGTCTTGTGACAGGGAATAGGGTAGGACCGCAAAGAATAGATTCACCTAATGAATAGCACCTTCCATCCAAACATGATGTTCAGCGAGCATCCCAATGGTGCTCCGGTCATCCGTCCCAGAAATGTAGCCACCTCTCATGTGGAAGGGACAGAGCCTTTAAAGGAGCTTAGAATATGCAGGGACGATCCAGCTAGAAGGATCATTTGGGGAGAGGAGAGAAGAGGAGATGTGAGACCCCATCTGGAGTTTGGCCAGCACACAGTGGTTAACTCCCTGACTCTTCTAAAGCGCCCTGGGTTATTTAATAACCACAACCAGTCCAGACCTTGATTTATGTCTGTCTCCGAAGACTGGCAGTCTTTGCGTGATTAACTCCCAGGAATGGAGCAGCAGGGTTGTTTCAGGTCAAGGTTGACATGCATTGGCAGAACTGTGTGAAGGAAGCACGTATAGGGCTTGCCCCATCAACACGGCTTCAGTCTCTCACTTCTATGGATATTAAATCCCCCCCCCCCCCATCTGCTCAGAAATGAAGGGATTTCAGGAAATCCTGCTCTCCCCTCCCCCCCCCAACCAAAACAGGTACCAGATTATACCCTTTTCTGCCTTCTGCTGGGATCAGAAGCAGCATGTCATGGGCACAGAAAGGCCAGCTGAGGTGGCTGTTTCTCTCACTCACTCACACACACACACACACACACCCCCCCCCCCACCAGCCACATAGTTGATCCTAGTTTGGCCCAGCAGGTGGAAGATCCAGGACGACCTGGGAGATTAATTTACTCTCACACCCCTAGACGTGTCCTGTTTGAATGAGTTTGAGTCCCATCAGCACGGCCATATAGGGGAAGCTCGCACTGCCGCTTCCTGTTCGTGGTCTCCAGGAACCTTTCCCCATCACTATATTCACATCAAAAACTTTTTCAGATAGCTGCTGCCCTGCCTCAAATCCTGCGCTGCATGTAAAAGGAGATTGCTGTGGGAGGAACACCGCTTAGCTGTTTTCTCACCCTCCAGGTTTGGTCCTGCTGCCTTTTCGGGATGGGAAGGTGTGTAGGGGGAAGTGAGGCTGCTGATCATTTTAATACCTAGCGAAAATGCCATTTTGGATGTGCAGTTCCACCCGCCGGGGCGTAGGGTGTGAAGGAGATGTACATATTTCTCTGTGCCCGAGGGTGCAGCGCCAACGTGCATGCATTCCCCTAGAAACGCTTGCGCTGTTTGGTCTTCATTGCTTATTTAACATGCATGTGAAGCATTTTAATAGCTGTCCTGTATGTCTGAGAAGCCATGTGATAGATCCTGCAAGCCCTTCAGGGTCCTGATTCTGCACCTTCGGAGTCAGTGGGAGTTTTGCCATTGACTTGATTGGACCTGATGTGTTGAACTCCAACTGGGTGGCTTACATGGGGCAGAGACCTTGGGCGGGCCCTTTGCACAGAGGTGACTGACTCCAGCAGGGGAGCTTACAGGGCCTGTGTTCTCCTTTGGCAGGTGCGTGTGTCATTGACTAACACTGAGGTTACACTTGCATCAAGGGGAAGATACAGCCTCCCGAATCTTTTATGCAGTAAAATGTAAAAGTATCTTGTTCATTCTTGCTGTAAGACGGAGATCATTTAATTTTGTGCAACTCCCCGGCATAACTTACTATGTGTTAACATTGCCTTCCCTCTATTGTAACGCGTTCTTTTGAAGACAGTAAATTAAATATACAAGATCTATTCAGTTGGACTGATTCTTTCCTGCTGGCTTACAAGGTGGCAAATAGATTAAAGGTAACTTTTTCTCCGATAAGGGGGATGTGTGGAAAACCTGGTATTCATTTTAATTATAAGTGACTCAATATAATTGTTCGCATACACCTTCATGGTAGGTAGCTGTGACAAGAACTTACGATGGAAATACTCAAAATCTGCAGTTCTAGGGAGACCCTTTCTGTACACTGATTAAGGTATGTATTGGACTGAATAAAAAGTAATATTAAAATACGTCTGCCAGATATGCAATGTAACCAAGCTAATGTTGCTGTAAAATCCTCAGCTGCTGTAAATCAAAATAACATCAATGGAGTTACACTGATTTACACCAGCTGAGAATCTGGCTCCTTAATTTTGCCATTTGTCTGATCTGTGTGTGTTTTATATTCCCAAGTTGAATGTTTCAGCTACCGGATTTTTGGCACGGTACACACATACCACAAGGATGGGCGTGTTAGAAATACCTAGATAAGATTTACAATAATGTTGACTGTTTCTGTCAATGCCACAAAGGTGGGAGATAAAGCAACTTTCTACTGTCGTCCTGTGTAATGTCTTTGGATGTATTTAACTCCTGTGCTGTACCCTGTGTACACTTTGGGGTCCTTCCACCTTTCTCTGAAGCACCTGGTGCTGGCCAGTGTTGCAGACTGCACCAGCTGGGACAACTGGTGGGATCTGCTACAGGAACCCCTATGTTTTTGTGGGGTGCTTCCCCAGCCTCCTCTTGTTGAGGCCTCCTGGTTCTTCAGAACATTGCCTGCCAGTCATGTGCTGTTCCACCTGGAAAGGGAGTGAAACCTTCCAGTTTAGTTCACTTGTTATCAGAACATAAGAATGGCCATACTGGGTCAGACCAAAGGTCCATCTAGCCCAGAATCTCATCTTCCGACAGTGGCCAGTGCCAGGTGCCCCAGAAGGAATGAACAGAACAGGGAATCATCAAGTGATCCATCCCCTGTCACCCATTCCCAGCTTCTGGCAAACAGAGGCTAGGGACACCATCCCTGCCCATCCTGGCTAATAGCCATTAATAGACCTATCCTTCATGGATGTATCTAGTTCTTCTTTTTTGAACCGTGTTATAGTCTTGGCCTTCACAACATCCTCTGGCAAAGAGTTCCATACGTTGACTTTGCGTTGTGTGATTACTTCCTTTTGTTTGTTTGAAACCTGCTGCCTATTAATTTCATTGGGTGCCCCCTAATTCTTGTGTTATGAGAAGGAGTAAATAACACTTCCTTATTTACTTTCTCCACACCAGTCATGATTTGATAGATCTCTATCATATCCCCCCCCCTTAGTCATCTCTTTTCCAAGCTGAAACATCGCAGTCTACCCAGGGATATGTTCTTAGCTGTTCTCTGCAGGAAAAGCCAGTGTATTTGGCCCCAGCTCTAGAGTTTAACTCTGGTGGTTTTGTTTTCTTAACTCACAACAAACCCTGCTGCTCTGGGGTGAATTCTTCTTGCAGCTTTTCCTTGTAACATCCCAGGCTCAAGCATACTTCAAAGGGAAGCTGCGCTCTGGCTTATGTGCTTGAGCAATTGTCTCCAAGCAGCAGGGAGGTCCCGCTTGCTCAGAGGGCTACTGAAGCAGGTACTCAGCTGGCATCCATCAGCATTGTTCTATTGACTTTAATGGAGCTACAGGGCCTTCCCCCATTTATTGAAAGAAGGGGTGGGGTAAGGGACTGCGGGAGGGAGGGTTTGTTGTCATTGGTCAGGAGAAGAAAATAGTTCTGTGGGGTATAAAAGCTGGACCAGTTCCCACAGGCCAGGGGGAAGTGTTCAGCCTGCCAGGAAAGTGCTCTGACAATGTGTGGGATGAAAGGCTCCCAAGAGCAATGGCATTTGTTCAGGGTTCCCCTTTGTACTTTCTCCTGTAGCACCGTGAGTCCCTACCATACGCAGCTGCTGAAGCCAATGCTTCTGCATGCTCTGATGGGGGAGCGGCCGGCTGTGCTACAGCCAAAGGGGCACAGATGGCTTCTTTCCAGCATTCTGCCATGAAGGATGTTATTAAATCCCAGCCTTTAAAATCTTCAGAGGAACCAGACTGGCAGGTAAGAAACATTTGTAGATGACCTGAAAATGAGAGCGCTGCCTAACTTACTGGCCTCTGCCTTTGGGGAGCTTTCTCTCCTTCATCACCCCCAAACTGCATGACTGGGGGGAGCATTGCCTTCAAATGAACCGAGGACCAATCCCATGCAAATGCAGCATCTGCATAGGAAAACTAGAAGAGAAAATCGATAACAGCTCATCTCCTAAAGCCTGGGAGGAGAGCCTGAGGGTCAGCTGAAGATGTGAGAAGAGAATCTTCTTTATTTCAACGCACATTGCAACAGCATTTTCCCTAGGAGTAAATATGGCACGCTTTGTGACGCTGCATGTAAATTTATAATCCACAACCACTTGCCTGAAAAAGGCCCACCCATCCCTCTTCTGATGCCACAGGTTTTATGTACAAAGCAGAAAGGACACCACTTGATTTCCCCCCCGCACTCCTCCCCCCAGGTCATGTATTCAGTTTCCAGTGTGGGTAGGAAGAAAATTTTGGTTTTGAGTTCTGGCTTAGATTTGGAACAGACAGGGCAAAATTCTCTGAGTGAATGCAGCTGCTGGAGATGTAAAGCCAATGCAGACGATGGGTCACTATTGCTGGTCATTTGTGACCATAACCGCACATTAGGTGGTTTAGTGCAATACATAAATGTTGCATATATTCTCTTTTCCAAAGAATTGTATGTTGGATGGGATTGCAAAGGTGTCAAAAGGACTTAAGCACCCATATTCCATGGAAATTCAATGGGAGTGGAATACCTTAGACCCATACACTCTTTTAAAAATCCCAGTGGTTGTCACTTGGGCTGTTTGCTGCCTCATTTCATTCATCTTTCAAGAATCAGCAAAATCCAGACCCTTGGAATATTGGCTATTCATGAGGTAGAATCTGCAATATTTTATTAATCATCCACGTTTCTCATTTATACAGAATTTCTACAAAACAGTCATCCCACAAGAGAACAATGATCACTTGAAAGGGAAGAACAGGTTTACAAGCTAGTGAGATGAGAGAGAACCACTTTCAAACCAAGATGTAATGAGCCACATTTTCAAACACAGATAACTAAAGTTAAGCTCCGAAATCCCTAGTTAGGCACCTAGACTGGCCTACTCTTTCTAACCCATGTGTACTATGGAGAATACCCTAACAATGATCATTTTCTCGTGCTACCAAAACGTAGGGTGAAATCCTGGCTTCACTGAAGTCCTGGGTGAGTTTTGCCACTCACTTCACTGGGGCCAAGATTTCACCCATCTCTTAAGTCAGAAAATCTTACATATGTACAGTATGAATCCCTATAGCTTAAATTCTAGGCGACAAATCCATCGCCCAACCAAGTGGCAATAATCCCTAGGCCCTATATAGTCCTCTTTATCCAGATCTCAAAGCACTTTACAAAGGAGGGTAAGTATTGTGGGGGAAGGGCTAGCTCAGTGGTTTGAGCATTGGCCTGCTAAACCCAGGGTTGTGAGCTCAATCCTTGAGGGGGCCCATTTAGGGATCTGGGGCAGAAATTGGGGATTGGCCCTGCTTTGAGCAGGGGGTTGAACTAGATGACCTCCTGAGGTCCCTTCCAACTCTGATATTCTATGATTCTATCATTACCCACATTTGACAAATAAGGAAACTGAGGTTCAGACAGGCAAAATGACATACCCATGCTCACGCAGCCAGTCAGTGGCAGACCTGAGAAAAGAAACAAACTCTCTTGATGCCCAGTCCTGCATTCTAGCCACTGGACTATGCAGCCTCCCATGTAAAGATGTTTGCTTTCTCATGTGGCTGTTACTGGCTCTGAGAGGCTATGGGAGTCAGGAAGCGTGGCTTAGTGTTTAGGTTTTGGGAGAGGGGTGATTTAGTGGAGGATGGGGAGAGATTATTTGGAGTTTTAGTTCAGTTTAAGTTTTTTTGTTTAGACTTCAACCTCCCAGTGATATTTACCTACCAAGCACAGCAGCATTGTGCTAATACAGGAGAAGCAGAATGTGAAACTGACATGGATCACTTCATGCCCCCACAGAAATGCAAAAACTAAACCAGGATAAACAATGAAAAGTAAATTTAATTTGAAACATTTCAGTTTATCTAGGGGTACTACTGGGAAAAGGGATGTGTGATCTGTTTCCTAACATGGTATCTTTCTGTACTGTACAGGGCAGATCAATGCAATTGTAAATGAACAGGAATGGATTTGAACAAAGTAACAGTATTCTGAATAGTTCTGTCACTTTCCCAGTGTTCAACTGGCAGGCTAAAATAGTTGCTTCCCCAGGAGAGGTAAACAATAATAGCAATCATTGATATCTCCAGTAGCGGACTAGCCAATTTGTTTATGTCAGACCAAAATGAGCTAGGGAGAGAGTGATGACATTTATCTTCTTTATTTGGGTCCTTCTGTGCTTGTGAAATTAGTCCCTATTCCCAAATCCCCTCTGTAATAGTTCAGAATATTTTGCCTTCAGTGTAGCAAATAGATTATCTGTGCTGGATAGCTGAGGTGCTCCAAACCAAGGCCTACTAATGTCCCCCTGTGATTGCTAGCAATGATCACTGTTAACAGAGTTTTATTAAAACAATCAATATATTCTAAGGCCTCTGTTGGAAAATTAAAAATGTTAACTAGAAAGTTGTTAAAGTAGAATTAATTATATTGTTTAGGGAACAGAGATGGATCATCCCTAGGCTGTTTGCTTGTAAACTGTGGAAATAATGGACACTGCAGGCTAAAATCTCCAAAACAAACCAACCTACCAGCCTGCCATTGTCTTGGCTTCCAGAATGGCCTGCATTGCACCTTGGGATCATGCAGCAGAGAACATCTGTAAGTAGCTGCAGGAACCAGTGCACCTTTTGTTTGCAGCTGAACCTGGGCAGCTTGCTGCTTTTGGAATGCTCCACTAGCCGGCAGCTAATTACAGAAGGGATTAAAGAAAGAATGAAGGAAACTGCAAAAAAGAGCAAGGAGTCGCTCTGAAACTGCGCTTTGATGGAAGCAAGTGTTGAAAAGAGAGGCCACCATCAGTGGAAAGGCTGAACAAATGCCATTATGCTATTTATCAATGTGTCCGAGCCAATCAATGCCGTGTTCGGAGTTTTTTTTTTCCCCATCATCTCAAGCTGCAGGATCTGACAACTAGGGCTTTAGGGCTGTTTCTGTGGTCCTCGTTATAATCTTTCCATAGATTTGTTCTCTTAACTTTTCCCTTGCCTCAATCCTTTCCCCTCCACTTCAGTAAAAGGCTCTTTTATACTGCAAGGAAGTTGATTTGGGATAATTCCTCATAGGGTAAGATTTCCCCCCCGTGCAGAAGGCCAGCACATAGATTTTCTGCTGGCCCTTAGTACAGAGGTGAATAATAGCATTAGTGATTTAGTCAGTTGTTATTTACGATAATAAGCCAACTTCAGCGCTGAAGGCAGTGAAGTTGCACTGGAGTGGAACTGGCCCATAGGCTACTGGGTCTAAAGAATTCCCCTCTCCACCATCTTGTTTCCTCTTCATTAAGCACAGCACATGGGCCTCCAGAATTCACAGGCTGGAGTCTCGGATTGCATCTCCTACCAGCACAGGTTGGTTAGAGCTCTTCCCATGCATTTTTGTTATTACTAGAGAGAGTGCAGGTGAGCAGGTTTCAAATGCTGTTGGAATTCCTTGGACATTGCTGCCAGTTCCTGCCTATAGTTATATACAGACTGCAAGTCCTGGCTGTTCCTCAGCAACTCGTTACTCTTGTGGGCTTCATAATGAAACTGGGAGTTTTTCATCTCATACCTAGAAAAGAGAAGCAACAGTACTGGACAGGCTCTGAGACGGGAATAATAATAAAAGCCACAGGGGGGCAGGCACCACATAAATGGTTCTTTCCCAAATATGCCTTGTCCTCTGGACTCTTCTTTCTATCCCCAAATCTTCCAAGCTCCGATTTCAGCTGAGCCAGGGTGGAAGTCATGATAAAGTAGCATTACTTTTGTATTGGTGACTCTCTGCCCAACACACAAACCTATCCAATGCCTGGACCCAAAAAAAGATCTGACTCCAACCCCAAATATCTGTGTGCAGAGAATCTTGCCTCTCCAGCATCCTGCCTTTCTCTGCTGGATGCCCTAAGACTCCCTGGTGTGATGCATAGGGTACTCTGTGGCATCATCCCAGCTGGGGATCAGACAGAGCCGTACACGAGAGTGGATTAAAAGAAGTTCATTAAGTCTACAGGCGGCCTCAATGTGCTACAACCCTGCCTTGGGCGGGGCCCAATTTAGAAGGATGTTATAGAACCCTCATGGGAGACAGGACACAAGTCACTAACAGACATGCAGGACCAAGTGACCCTCACTCTGGGAAACTCTTTAAGAGGCGCAATAATAAATCTCCCACTATCTATCCAGGTACTTATAAGACCCTCATGGCTGAGATCCTGGAGTACTTCCCCTTATGTTAAAAACAACAATACACTCTCTCCTGCTTTACAGACACCAAGATTGGACTTTACTCTTTAGCAGATACCGATTTCCTCCTCCCATGAGCGCCCCCTGCCATTTCTCACAGAGCAGAGGAGGAGATGGCTACTCCATGACTGTTAGCATCATCAATGCTTCAAATTCACAGGTTTGTTAGTTAGCTTGTGCTCCCTCTGCTGGTTCAATAGCTGCTCCTACATTTTCAGAACCCGGCACCAAACTGCACCCACAAAATGTGCGTGCATGCATGCACAGATCCATTTGGCTCACAATACTGGGCCCTGCAGAGGTCAAGGTTTGAAACCTTAGTCCTGAGGCGATTGGCTTGGTTTTAGATGACAGAGTGAAGTATTTTGGAAGCATTATAGTGAATTGTGAAGTTATTTCCCCACCAGACTATATGTGAGGTTGCAGCCAAGGAGTTTTAAGCTGACCTGGGTCCAAGCACCCTTTCTCCTTTGGAGAAACCCAGCGTGCAGCCTGGCCACTTGGGCTACCCACAAGGTTGAGGATTTGCACTTACCACTTTGGTTTTGGACCCCGAGTTCGCTCCAATTCTTGCTGCCTCTTTAGTTCTAATAACCATTCCTCCTCCACACGCAGGCGCTCCAGCCTGAGACGAGCCAGCTCCTTCTGATACGGGGACATTTCTATCAGGGACCTCCCAACAGCACCTTCTGCAAGAGTCTGCAGAAACCTGATCGATCAACAAGAACAAGCCCTTGCATTTCTATAACATCTCTTAGCTGGGGAATTCAAAGCATTTCACAAACTGTGACCCAAAGTGACTAGTGACTTTAGTTGCTACAATTGTTGAGTGCCCAAATGGATTTTCAAAGGGCAGGTGCTCAATATTTTCTGAAGATCTGGCCCCTTTAAGGTGGCTCAAGCTGGGCATCCAAAAATCGCTAGACTGTTCCAGCTCCCCTTACCCCCAAACATGTGTGATTTTCCAGATAAAGGATTAGGGGACATCCGGCTGTTTATGGTGATGCGGAGTTTGAGGAAGGGAGTGCTGGAAGACTGACATCCCTACTGGGACAGAGTTAAAGGTGTGTCATGTTTTGCTGTTTGTTCTAGCAGAGAGGTGTGTCTCTGAGTAAAGAAGTAAAAAATGTCATGTTAGAAGCTTTAACTTCATTTCCAGGGTTTTGTGTAAGTCTGTTATGTATAAAGCAAGCTTGACTCACACACACCATAGGGTTTTTATGTACTAAATACAGCTCTAAAGCACAAGACATCATGAGAACGACTGCTTAGAACATAGGTAATCCTCCACTAACCGCTTCTCTGAAAGCACTAATTAGCACCTCCAGTGACACTGGTGAGAGCATCACATGAGTGGTGTGGCCAATTGGTTCATTTGATCATTCATGACTTGTGTGTTGTGTCATACATAATCATTCTGTGCTAAAAAGATTTACGTTGTAGCATTCTAGAAGTATAAGATTGATCAGTATTTAGAAGAAGTGAGAAGTATGCATTAGGTAGTGAAGTAAGCAGGGCTGACATGCAAGGCCCACAACCTGAGGTCTGGAAGATGTCATACTTAGCCATACTAGGTCACAGGCTTAAAAAATGCTTGATATAGGGTCATTTTTTGGTCACTTACTTATGCCACAAGATTATGGGAAAAGATGTACCAGTGGGTGGTATTGTGAACAATTAACCTGAAGAGTAAGTTTTGACTACAAGATACCCGGTAGTCATATTGTTCTAACACAGGCCCTTACCAAAGCTTGCACTATGTGCATCAATGCTAATGGGAATAAAGGAACTACAAACAACCTATGAAAAATGGGACACCCCAATATTCTTGGGGGACACAATACAAATAAGGAAAAAGAGGATGGACACCTTCATCCATATATGCGGAATGTAAGTGAAGTCAGAATCACAAGATGAAAGAGGGCTCCCAGACTGGGTAAAAAGAGTTCCCTACAGGAAAACTCCAGCAGGAACCATCCCTCTGATGATCAATTGGCAAGACATCCATCAGACCTTAAGAATAGGAGTATGACTATATTTCTAACTTGTGCATAGGTCTTTATAGAATTTTATATACATGGATAATCATAACTTTAACTGTAACTATAATAAAACTTGTAAAACAGACTAGCCCTTGTACTTGTGAATGTCTGTGTGGTCACTATCCTGGGTCTTTAGGTGTACATAGAGGCTCTAAATCTGAAGCAAGTAGCAGAGGTGACTTTCACTCTTTTGAGCTTGAAACTGTAGCCACCACAGCTGAACCCAGGATGGTGTAATACAACATTACTAAATTCACTTTAATAAAAAAGGCTACAGAGGTGATGTTACATTAAAAGCTACGGTAAAATTCTGACTTCGGGTTGGTTGTTTGGTTTTAAACTACGTTCTCCTGGGACTGATCCAAAATCCATTTTAAACCAAATGGAAAGACTCCCAGTGGCTTTGGATCAAGCCCTAAGGTAACAAATTAAAAACCAAATTACAATGTAGCCTGGGAATATAAAAAGAAAAGGAGTACTTGTGGCACCTTAGAGACTAACCAATTTATTTGAGCATGAGCTTTCGTGAGCTACAGCTCACTTCATCGGATGCATACCGTGGAAACTGCAGCAGAGAATATAATGTACTTTCTTTTGTGTGTTACACCGTTTGGACAAACCAGTGTGGAATGTGGTCCAAAGTTACATCTGATAGTTATCTAGTAACATGGTCTGGACTCACACTGACAGGAAGAACTCCTGGAAAGTTTGAATGTCCGCACAAGCCTTTTCTTACCGTTCATTAATCTCCTGAGCTGTTGGTGAGGATACAGCGGTGGAGGGCAGACTGTAAGGGCTCCAAGAATAGCTCAGTGTTCCCCTTGTATTCATCCTGGCTGGAGTACAGGACCTGGCAGCCAGGGCTCCTGGTTTGTATATTCTGGATCGTGATTGTCTGGTTGAAGCCGTTTTCTTTCTGCTGGACTTGGACCTGCCAAAGTGCGGTGGAGGCTGGGCACAGGCATTTGCCTTAGCAGAATTTGGTCTCCAGATGGGTCTAGGTGACTGTGAGCGAGATCTTAGCCACCGGCTTCTTTTGGGAGCCGGAGAGAATGAACGGGATCGGTTGGTCCCAGAACGATCAAGGGAGAGGGACCTTTCAGGAGAGCGATCCTGCACCGGGATTTTAGGGGGCAACAATGACCTGACTCCAATCACATGAGGAGCACCAAGCTTCACTGGGAAAGACTCTGTATGTGCAAGATCCAGTGATGGCACATAGTTCCTACTTGCAATCTCACTCCCCAGGAGCCCTGGCACACAGTTGATGGGTGATGTGGAGAATGTAGGAAGGCCTAAGCTTGTTAGTGCTGGATACTCTCCCAATGGTTTGACTAGATGTCTTGGGTTCAGAAACCACTCTGACTCTGCAGATTGCTTTGGTGCATCTCCAGTGTCTGCCTCTGCATAGGTCCCATTATGAAATCTTGGCCACGTAGAATTGAAAGTGCTCAAGTTGACTGTAGCGCCAGAATCTATGGCATAATCTTGATGAGGGTCAAAACTCAGACTTGAGGCCAAACTGTCCACCTGAACTTTAAGTTTCCGCAAACTTTCTTCTAAGTCATCAATGCTGGGACTCTCTTCTATATATGGAGATAAGCTAGTTTCTAGGTGGGGAAAAAATGCATTTATTTAGGAAATGCTATTAATTATACTTGTAGACTGCTCTACATTATCAGTAGCTATTGTTAGCACAGAGCAGAAATAACGTAGTATACGTACTTCTGTCAAAGGATCTCACTGCACTTTATAAACTAAGCTTCACAGCCCCACAGGGATAGAAGAATTATTCTGTATGTTATACGTATTGTGGCACACAGCTCTACCCTTAAGGGGTGGACGTTATACAATGTGTTATAAATAAGGCAGTCAGGGATAAGTATTGGACGTCTGAGAACTGACCCTAGAAAAATCTGGATGAGATGTAGTCAGTTTGAGGCTAACTAGTGGTAGTTTGGGATTATTCTCATTTTAAAGCACAATCTTTCATAAAAATAGTAGCAGAGAATATGGCCCAATAATTTTACATCTCTTAGGGACTTGCATTCCAAAGGATCTCAAAGCACTTCATATGCTATTGGACAAATCCTACAAACACTAACCACTGACTATAATGTTTACTACTGTGAGTGGTGCCACAGTCTCCCCAGGAGTACTTCTAGTAGCACGCCCGAGGTCCAGTAGTAAGTATTTGCAGGACCGGGTCCTATATACATACAGCACCGATTAAATCTAGCCAAGTCTGTGTCTGCCCTAGAGAATCTAGGTTTGTCAGTTCTGATGTTTAGACCACTAGCCGCACCCCTCCTTCCTGTTTTAAAAACAAAACAAAAAAACACCACCATTCTCCTAGATGCAAAATACAGGCAACATTAAGTGAGTTAACACTTCATGCAATTTTTAAATCCTTTGGTAAAATATATTTGCTCTCATTTTGGATTTAAAAGATCTATATTCTGTATGTTTAAGATAAATACACACAAATATGACAGAGATCCTTTGAACATTGGTCTTCTATAGCTTAAATAAAGTGGTCCTTATCCTGATGTCATTCACACTGGTTGGCTCCATTGCAATTATTCCTGATTTACACTAGCTTGAAACCTGAATAGGGCCCACAGTCTTTTCCAGATGATAAGATATACTATGTAAAAAGAGAGCATCCACTGTCAAAGCGGTGACTTTATCAGGATTTATATTATATCCTACCAATTTGTTTTTTAAATAATGAAGTTCCTTCCCAGTTGCTGTGCAGTGTCTGGTTCTTTTCCGGTCCTTTGAGGCTCAGACGGTGAGTTGTAGTAGTTTTCTGGGTGCTGCTAAGGAATTTGTTTGGTTTCTCTCTTTAAAGAAAAAAGAAAACATTTTAAAGCGTTGAGTGTTTGTATTAATTTTAATAACAGGTTGTGTGTATGTCTGTGTTACTCTTGAAACTGGTGGGAAGTGTCCACTGTAGTCTAAATATGCATAATAGTCTATATTCAGATGTGAACTACGTCTAACACAGGCTCTGACAATGGCAGCCTCCAGTGGTATCTCTCCTCTGAAATAGGTGGTTATTGTGGAAATCGAAAGAAAGAAACAGACTTGAATTGCTTCCTCTCCCTTATACCAATGTAAATTACTAGGAACTTAATTTAAGTCAATGGAGTTGAAATGGTGAAAAGCTGGTTATCGGAGAGCAGACTCCAGATCACTCCGAACATAGACTGTTTGTTTTCCTTCATTGTCTTAGTTTCTATACTCTGTAAATACTTTCACCCATTCCAAAGGCTGCTAGTTTTGATCTGTGCCATTCAATTATCATTTCTGCTGTTTTATCCAGGATACCTTTTAAAAAGCGTTGTTAAAGTGCGCATAAACAGAAATAGCACCTCTAGTGATACAAGCTAAAATAAATATTGTAAAGACTTTCAAGCCTCAAGCTTACAGGTATGAGCTGATCAGCAGGTGCTTTGGTAGGGATTTTTTCATTCCTCTGAAACTTTCCCTTTAGTCACTAGATCTTAGCTGTCTTTTCCAGTGCTGCAGGAACTGGGACATGGGAGTTAACGCACCATTGGTCTAGCTGGCTGGATTCCAGACACTGGAAGGAACCCTGATCATTATTAAATTATCTTTCTCTTTACCTTATTTTTGCTGTCATAAATGAACAGAAATTCTGCAGAACTATTTATTTGTTTTTACAAGAGGTTGACTCTATTTCACAGTAAATTAATTTTACATTCTCTGCTGTCTTTTGTTGGGAAGCAATGCTGCTTACCTGTTGCTGGAAACAATCACTGCCAGGTCAATTACCATATTCACACTTTTGAGAATTAATGAAAAAGTTAATCCGCCCATTTCTACAGTATAATGTGTGTAAGACTCAAAGCCAAGGGTGGGAAACCCAGACTCCTAGGTTCAATACCTGCCATGCCACTGAGCTGCTGTGGGATCTTAGCCAAATCACCTTTCCTCTCTGCATTAGCTTTTTCAGCTGTAACTAGGCTTTGTACTTTCCCCTACCTCACGGTGATGGGTGTGAGCTCATTAATGTGCGCTGAGCACCTTGGTTAGAAGGAGCTAGAGAAGGGCAAAGTATTATAATAAAGCAGGAGCGCCCTGGGGCTCGCACTTTGCACATTTCAATTGGGGGTTCATATCCCCACCCCTGTGGAGGCCATTCCATGGGGCTGATACCCCCTTGTCTCCTGGAAGCGCTCCCGGGGTTCATGTCCCCTTTCTCTGGGAGGCCCATATCACCCAGGGGGTGGCCCTCCAGCTTCCACCCCAGACACACCACACAATCTATTGTCTACAGCCAAGCACTGAGGTACAACCGCATTTGCTCCAACCTCTCAGACAGAGACCAACACCTACCAGATCTTCACCAAGCATTCTCAAAACTACAGTACCCACACAAGGAAATAAGGAAACAGATCAACAGAGCCAGATGTGTAACCAGAAGCCTCCTGCTGCAAGACAAGCCCAAGAAAGAAACCAACAGAACTCCACTCGCCATCACATACAGTCCTCAGCTAAAACCTCTCCAACACATCATTAGTGATCTACAACCCATCCTGGGCAACAAACCCTCACTTTCACAGGCCTTGGGAGGCAGGCCAATCCTCACCCACAGACAACCTGCCAACCTAAAACATATTCTCACCAGCAACTACACACCACACCATAGTATCTCTAACTCAGGAACCAATCCATGCAACAAACCTTGATGCCAACTCTGCCCACATATCTACACCAGCAACACCATCACAGGACCTAACCAGATCAGCCACACCATCACCGGTTCATTCACGGGCACGTCCACCAATGTAATCTATGCCAGCATGTGCCAGCAATGCCCCTCTGCTATGTACATCAGCCAAACTGGACAGTCCCTACGTAAAAGGATAAATGGACACAAATCAAATATTAGGAATGGCTATATATAAAAACCTGTAGGGGAACACTTCAACCTCCCTGGACACACAGGAGCAGATGTAAAGGCAGCCATCCCGCAGCAAAAAAAAACTTCAGGACCAGACTTCAAAGAGAAACTGCGGAGCTTCAGTTCATTTGCAAATCTGACCCCCTCAGCTCAGGAGGAAACAAAGACTGTGACTGGCTCGCCAACCACAAAAGCCGTTTCTCCTCCCTTGGCGTTCACACCTCATCTGCTAGAAGAGGGCCTCATCCTCCCTGACTGCACTAACCTCCTTATCCCCAGCCTGATTCTGGCTTGCATATTTATGCCTGCCTCTGGAAATTTCCACTGCGTGCCGCCGAGGAAGCGGGGAGTCACCCCGGAAAGCTCATGCTCCAGCACCTCGGTGAGTCTAGAAGGTGCCCCAGGCCTCTCCGCCGCCTTTACGGATCCAGACTAACACGGCGACCCCTCTGATGCACTTACCCAGGGACCCCCCCCCCGATCACCCCTTGGGGGTTCCTACCCGCTCCTGCGGGGTGGGTAACACTCCCCCCGGGCTCCTTCCTCCCCCTCCCGCCGCAGGGGCTCACACCCCTGGGGTTCCTCCCTCCAAGGGGACCACACCCCGGTGGCTCCTGCCGCCCGTCCCCCGGGGGGAGTCCCGCCACCCTGGCCCCGCCCCGCCCCGCCCCGCCCCGCACCTGATCCGGGCTCCGCGGCCCCGCACCCGCAGCCCTCGCTCCGCCATGTCCAGCACCGGCAGCTTCCCCCTCCTTAGCGACGCCCCCAACACTCTCGTTGCTAGGCGGAAGCGCCGCCCCGCTGCCTTTCCGTTCGCCCCTTCTCCTCTCCCCTCCTGACCTCGAAGTCCCGCCCCCTCAGCGGTCTCGATAACCAATCGGATTACTCTTCCGAGCCGCCTCCTCGAGTCCCACTCCAGCATCGAACCAATCGGAAGTAGGGAAAGGCCTCACGTGACCTAGGACGTGCCTCTCCGCGGGACGTGTGGACGGCATTCCCAGCTTCACCAATCAGAACTCCCGAGAAGTTTCACGCGCTGGTGATGCCCGGCTGGTCGGCTCCAATGGGCGCAGGGAGGGCGGGGCCGCGCCTGCGCGGTGGAAGCGGCGGCCGCTCCGCGTGTGGCTGGTCTCCCGGCGGCGGCGCGGGCACCATGTCGTGGCTGTTCGGGCTCAACCGGGGGTCTCCCCCCGTGGCGGGGGACGCAGGCCCGGGCGGGGCCGGCCTGGCCCTGCCGCCCCCTCCCTCCGCCGGGGGCCCCGCAGCGGGGGACGGAGCCGGGGACCGGAACACGCCCAAGGACAAATGGAGCAACTTTGACCCCACCGGGCTGGAGCGGGCGGCCAAGGCGGCCCGGGAGCTGGAGGCCTCCCGTGAGTGGGGGCTGCTCGGGACTGAGGGGGCCCGCAGCCGCGGCGGGAGGGGCTGCTCCGTTGCCAGGGCGAGTGCCCCATAGCCCGGCCGGTGGGGGCTGCGCGGCAGGCCCGTGGGGGAGGGCACGTGGCTGGGGGATCCCTGCCAGCGTGGGCCGGGCCGCGCCGGGCCGGGCCGGGCCAGGCCAGGCGCCGCTGCCATGAGCCTGAAATCGCAGCTCCGGGGACTCCGAGTCTGGTGGTGAGGTTGCTCAGTTCGCCTGCCTCTGCCTTGCTTTGGAGAGACTTCGTCTGCGCCGGGAAAGGCGCTTGGCCTCTGCGACTGTCCGTTCTTCGCGCTTCTGCGGAGACGGGCGGTGGTAACGATCGTTCTGCTGGTGGAAGCTGCTTTGTTAAAACCTGGGCTGAGCCCCCCACCGGCTGAATTCACACAGGCTGGCCAGCCGCCATCGGCTACTAATAATAACCTTGTTTCAGAGGAGCAGCCGTGTTAGTCTGTATTCGCAGAAAGAACAGGAGGACTTGTGGCACCTTAGAGACGAACCAATTTATTTGAGCATGAGCTTTCGTGAGCTACAGCTCACTTCATCAGATGTACTGAATGTATCCGATGAAGTGAGCTGTAGCTCAGGAAAGCTTATGCTCAAATAAATTGGTTCGTCTCTAAGGTGCCACAAGTCCTCCTTTTCTTTTTGCTAATAACCTTGTGCAACCTCTGGCCTGCATCAGGTTCAGATCTATGACCTAGAAGTGGCAGACTCTTTGTCCTGTGAGCAGGCCCCCCTCCCCATTTCCATTCATGCGTTTGGTTCAGCACCTCATTATGATAAAGTGTAAATTAACAAATTATAACGCACACAGTTTTGAGCCCTGAAATACTCCTTTTTGAGGAATAAAATAGCCATGGAATGTTTTTGATCTTCCTTACTGTAAGAGTTGGGAGCATTTGAGGGTGATGATGAAGGTTCCTAGCCAGAAGTGCAGGGGCGCAACAAATTTTTGGAACATAACATACGAAACATCTTTCTCTAATGCCTTCAACACTGTGTTGTTTCTTTAAACATAGGGGAAATAGTTGGAGTTGGCAGCTGCTTTCAGGCACCTCTTGCACATGGTTACACCAAGCAATCAGTTGCTCAATGCTCTTTTGACTTGTGGTCCTCATAGGACGACTGTGTTTAAAATGCCTAGACACTGAAAGTTTTGTGGACGGAAAACTTCAGTTTCTAGAGCCATAAGCGTGACATCTTTCACCAGCACCAAGTTTGCTTAGAAAAGTAGGATCTAATACTGCAGAAATAAGTTCTTAAACAACCTTATTAATTTCAGGCCATGCAAAAGATGCTCTTAGTCTTGCTCAGCTGCAGGAACAGACATTGCAAATGGAGCAGCAGTCCAAAATTAAGGTATGTTGAGCCTCAGGATCAAATTCATGCCTACTGCAGCTCTGCTGACTTCATTGGATGGATTTTGGCCCTCATTGTCTAACGATCTGCCTTGGCTATTTTGATTTCTTCTTGCACAGAGGAGTTCACTTTTAGTACACTGCCTTTCCCTGCATTTTCATTACTTCATTTGATTTATAAAAAAGAGAGTCTGGAAATGCAGCATTGCAGCCAGACTAATTTCTGCTCTTTTACAGGGTTTATGTCCGTGCTAAGAACTTGTGATATTTTGTGGTTCGTATTGGTATTGTAGCTCCCAGAATATCCTTTGTCCACAACAGCAATACATTTGTTTCTTTTCCCAGTACCTAATTTGTGGTGTCTGAGCCTCTAATATAGCACGGTAAGTGTACGTGGCACTTTGCAAAACACAAAATCAGATATGATCCCTGGTCTTAAGAATTGCCTTACCCCGCTGAGGAACCGAAACCTATTAGAAACCTATTTTGAAGAATATGGTTATCATTTGTAGCCCTCTGGAGGCTTTTGTGTTAAGCTGACGTATGCTGGCCCATTTCTCATAGGAATACGAGGCAGCCATTGAACAGCTGAAGAACGAACAGATCCGGGTACAAGCAGATGAGAGAAGAAAGACACTAAGTGAAGAAACCAGACAGCATCAAGCAGTAAGGAAAATTGGGGAAACTAGCAGACATGATGGCTGGCTTGTTGTGCTGGCTGGAATGGGAAACACACCATGAGAGGCTTATTCAGTTACACCAGCTATTCTCCACCTGGGGGTTGCGGTCCCTAAGGGGAGGTCATCCCCAGTTGAATCTGCCTCATTCCCCAGCTCTGGTGTTCTGTTGACACTGGTTTGCATAGCTGCTTGTAACAGACCCTAAGACACCCTAAAGAATCCAGTAAATTGGACCAGTTCCTTGGCTCTGCCTTTGAATTTCTTTAAGTGCTGCAGGGAATTGGTGTAAAACATTCTAGGATGCATCCTTGCTTGCAGGTATCAGTCATGATATGAAAAAAATTGAAAACTACTGGCTTACCCAGCATATCTGTTGGCTAGACAATGAAATGCATCCTAAATTACTTGGAGTGCAATCTCAGATTGCCTCTAATTTTCCCTGTTTCTCTTAAGTCTTCTGGAATCTAACCCTTTGGAAAGAGATCTCAGGAAATTACCATCTTAACCCAGAATTTGACAAACTATTTTTCTTTTTATGAGCTGGCTTTTGAGCAGCTTTTTGATGGGGTGTATCAGTGGGTTCTAACAGCTCTTGGGACAGTAATGCTAAAATTGGGGAAATGCAGTTCAGCTTTCATTCTTATTGCTGACAAACTGGTTTTTAAGGTTCAACATCCTTGCCATTTGTCACGAGCCCTAATTTTATATGTATCAACCCCCTCTGCCCTACATCTTCAGCCAGCAGAGCTTTTTTGGCACTGGTCTAGGACTGATTGTCTAACACATTGACAGTGTTCTATTTCAAATGCTGATCTCTTTTCCTTCTTATACTCAAGTCTTGTTTGCTGATTAGAGCAGGGTTTTTATTGCATTTCCTCTTTTCTTTTTGAAGAGGGCCCAATATCAGGACAAACTGGCAAGACAGCGCTATGAAGAGCAGCTGCGACAGCAGGTAAGATGTTCCATCTTCTAAAACTGCTGAGAGCTTAGCCAATCTGTGTTAACTTCACTAGGAGTAATGATGCTAAATTATGCTCCACCCTCATAACCCAGTGACTGATGCTATGCACCACTGTGATGGGAGAGCTTAGATTTTTTTGCACAGCCTCAGGGTTACTACATTCCAAGCCTAGCAGGTCTGATGCAAAAGCAACTGACAGCAAATAGGACAAAGGTGCAAGAAGTAGCTGGGAGAACATGAGATTGTGGGTTTTGGGAGGAAGAACATATTTAATTCTTAAGTATTTTTTTTTCCAGAGCATTTGTAATGTTTAGGTCTGCATGTGTATTAGGTTGATTGGCGATCTTAAAACAGCTAGTGTGTGTGAAAACTACAGTTTTCCATCTTCCTGTTTTGCCTTTTCTCCCAACCTAATTCATCTTCTGATGTGATCTCTTCTTCTTAGCAACTCCTTAATGAAGAGAACTTGAGGAAGCAGGAGGAATCTGTGCAGAAGCAGGAAGCAATGAGGCGAGGTAATGTGATATTTCAGTTCCGCCTTTTGGTTGGGGATTAAGTGGCTATTCAGAGCAACCTCTGAACTGTATTTGGAGTACTAGTACATACTGACTGGTAGGCTATTAGAGGGCTCATAATGCAGGATCTGCAAGCAGCAGCTAAATCACAGCTGGTTTTAGGGTTTGTCTGCACCGGGGGGCAAACGTTTTGGCTCAAGGGCCACATCTGGATATGGAAGTTGTATGGCAGGCCATGAATGCTCACAACTAGGGGTTGGGGTGTGGGCTCTGGAGTGGGGCCAGAAATGAGGAGTTCAGGGTGTGGGAGGGTACTCCAGGCTGGGACCGAGGGGTTCGGAGGGCGGGAGGGGGAATCTGGGCAGGGGGTTGGCGCGCGGGAGGGGGGTCAGGAGTGCAGGCTCTGGGCGGCACTTACCTCAAGCAACTCCCAGAAGCAGCGCAATGTCCCCCCTCCGACTCCTACGTGGAGGCATGGCCAGGCAGTTCTGTTTGCTGCTCTGTCTGCTGCACTGCCCCTTCAGCTCCCATTGGCCATGTGCGGAGCCCCCTGGCTGCCCCTACGCGTAGGAGCCAGAGCGGGGACATGCCGCTGCTTCCAGGAGCCACGCAGAGTGGGGCAAGCCCCAGACCCCGCCCCCTGGCTGGAGCTCAAGGGCCAGATGTGGCCCCCGCACTGTAGTTTGCCCACCCCTGGTCTACAAGAACATTTAGTTCACGGCAAGCCAGGATGTGAATCTACCCTCACTAGCCTGCTGCAAACTAACAGTCCTTGTGGACCCTGCTGACACACATTAACAGTTCCCTCGTACACTTTGATCTACTCTGTTCCAAAGCAGAGTAGATCAAAGTGCATTATGGAACTGTTAGGGCATGTGGGCAGTGTCCACACAGACAGACAGTGCAGGGTAGATTTAAACCCCAGTTTACTGTGTATTCTTGTAGATCTCTTGGAGTTGCTGGTGCCTGTAGCTCATTTCTGTGAAAGGCTAAACTTCTATAGAGAGCCTTTGTTTAAATAAAAGTACTCGAGTGTGGCTTCCAGTGGCTGAACACTGCAATACACCAACCTTTCTTGGTCTAGTAATACTGTAGGTAATGCAGCACTCCTGCATTTCCTGCCCTCAGGATTTTATCAGGAACCATTAGAATCAATCGGGTGTTTGGCTAGGACTTCTCTAGAGCATTAACACTTGAAATCCAGTGTCGATTTTAAGTATCTTGTTAGCCTGTCTTGTTTGTGACCTGGCTTTTTCTGTAGGCACGTAGAAATTAGAAGTGGAAAAGATCTGTGAAGTCATCCAGTTCCTTCTGCTGCAGTCCAGCACAGTACTGTCCCCTCTAATGCATCCTCTAGTGTTTGTCTCTAATTTTAAGTATTTCAAATGCTGGGCCTTGTTGGGAGATTGTTCCATAGTTAGGCTTGGCGGGATTTGATTTAAATTGATAACTGTTGGCATATAAATTTCAGCTGACACGCTGAAATCAACGAAAAAATATCAATTGGTGACAGTTGTTGGGAGTGCAGCCTCCCCCGGGCGCCTGCAGGGATTGGATGTCAGTGGCCCTGCAGCAGGTCAGAGATCCCTCTGCAGCACCACTGGCACTGGCTGTGTCCTCACTCCTATGACAGCAGATCGGCAGAGGGCTCCCAGCTGGGGACAGAGCCATTCAGCACCATGGTGGCCTCCCCCTGCGAGCAGGGCTTGTCGTCCTCAGAGTCCTGGCTGGGGTCTCCGCTCCACCCTTGCAGGACCACAGCCTTCCTGCACCTTGTGCCTGGGTGTCTTGGGCTCCTCTGCTGTGCATGGAGCCTCTGCAGCCTCGCTGTCAGCGCTGCCCTAAAAAACCCTCAACCCTACAACCCTTAATTTCCAGCAACTAGCAATAATTAAAAATTGATTATTAAAAATAAAAATGGATATAGAATTTTGGAATTGAAAAAAAATAAAAATGGAGTTCTACCAATCCTGTCCGTAGTCTAGTAGATTTCACTCCTGGGGGATGTTTTTCCTTTAACTCTGCCTACATTGACCTTTCACTTTCATCCCATTACTCCTAGTTGCACATCCTGGGCGTGTACATTCTTAGGTTTGTTACCATCTCCCCCTTGACCTTGCACAGCCAATCTCTACCAGTCTGTATTCAGTTTTCTTATTCTTTTCTCTGATGTCACACTCACCCTGATTATTTTTGTTGCTCTTCTCTGAACAAATGTATTCAGTGTATTCTCTTGGTAACGTATTCCCAGAATGCAATAATAATTCTTGGTGCACTCCTGCCTAAATATTACAGAGATGACCATCTCCTTGTTCTTAGAGGGAAGATTCCTAGACTTAGCTTTCATGCTGTTGTATTGATTTGCTTCCTTTTGTGGGCAGGCTGGTGGTCACTGAAATCTGTTGTCAGGTCACACGCATCTGACATGTAGCAAAGCTGATAATATTTACCCCTCTCCCAAAAGCTGGGTTTTGGGATAAAGCCCAGAGTAAAATCCCACCCCCTTGTTTCTTTTAAAGCCACTGTGGAGCGGGAGATGGAGCTGCGGCACAAGAATGAGATGCTGCGTATTGAAGCGGAAGTGCGAGCCCGCGCAAAGGCTGAGCGTGAGAACGCAGATCTCATTCGGGAGCAGATCCGCCTGAAAGCTGCTGAGCATCGCCAGACGGTGTTAGATTCCCTCAAGTACGTGCAAACCAGCTGAGGGGAGTTCGTCACCTTGCTACTGCCTCACACCACCCCCATCAAATGGGCTGTATAAAAAACCTTGGAGTTTGGTTGGGTTTGTTTTTTTTTTTTGTTTTTTTTGGCACAAGTTTAAAGGGAAAGATTGTTATTGCTGGTGTTCCTTCATTTTCTGCCCCAAGGTAGCGTATTAAAAACTGCTGTTTCCCTATCTCTAGGTGTGATTAGGGTGGATAGTGTAGTGGAAGGGAGAACTATTGTCTAGTGGTTAGTCATGTTTTGGGTGCCAGGATACTTGCATTCTAGTCTGAGTTCTCTAACAGACCACGTGACCTTAACCTGATCATTTTGGGGGGAAATCCTCGCTCTGTGAAAATCTTTGGCAACACTCTCATTGGCTCCAGTGAAAGGAGGTTTCACCCTTAATCTCTGAGACAGTTTCCCCACCTACAAAACAAACGTAAAATTTACCTACCTCACAAGGGTATTGTCAGCTTTAATTCATTGACTGTTATGAAGTCCTTTAGGATTCTTGGCTGGAAGGTATCTAGAATGGCTAAGTAACCATGAAATTTTATTATCATTCAACTCTAATGAAGTGAGTAAAAAATAAACATATTAGCTTTGGTCCAGAAGCTCTTCTGGATTTAATCCCATATACACCAGACGATTATAAATATATTTGCCCTGTATGTTTGGGTTCCTGGGTGAGCTCTGTTAGCTTTGACTGGTTCTGAAGAAAGTCATCAGGGAAACTGGAGTAATCTTGTAAGCTGCTTGCAATTCTGTCCTTCAAACTTAAAATCCTTCCCCCTTTCCTGCCTCTACTCCAAAGTCTCTGCTTACACTGCTGCTCTCTTTCCACAGGACAGCGGGTACATTGTTTGGAGAAGGATTTCGTGCCTTTGTAACAGACTGGGATAAAGTTACAGCCACGGTAAGCTGTGGACATATCTTTTGGAAGATAGACAACAGTTATTTGCGAACCTGATTTTGTATTTTTTTTCTCCTTGTCCCTGGTAATGTTAAAAATTCTGGGTTAGAAACGAAGAGCTGACTATCCGAGATAGACACCATCAACTCAAAAGCATACTTAAGTCTGCCTCCAATTAACATGCAAGGTTATAATTATTACAAGAGTAGACAAAAATGAAAACTTCTCCCATTTACTTTGTGCATGTTACAGCATTTTATGTACTCTGTTTCACTGTTTCTCCTGTATTCAGTTTCCCCTGCCCGTTGGTTTTTTGTGGGTCTTTCATCCAGCAACAGCAGAGAGGATAAATTATTTTAAAAATGAGACTGTCTTTAAACCAAGAAGCTGACAAGAGTGTCACAAGGACAAGTAGAACATCTGATATTACTAACTCACTTTCTGAAATTGACTAGATTACAGTGACTTTTTTGTTAGCTTTTTCATCAGTAGTAAACACTGACAGTTCCATCTTTCAGTAAATACACAACCCTCACTGGAATCACAGATATCTCTACTTATTTTGCTCCTTTTATTTTGTTTGGCCGAACATTGCAATTCATTTAATAGTGTTGATTAAGAACTCCAGTGCATTCTTCCTGTTCGGTTCTCATATTTAGGAAAGAGAAGAGCCTGTCTTGGTGTCTTGTCGGTGGCACTGTAACCAAATTGGAAGTGACTCTTCGGGGTGGGATGGAAAGAGTATCATAAATGCATTAAGGTGTACTTGCAAAGAGGGGGAACAAGTTGAGCTTATGCCCTCTTTACTCTAGGCTGGACAACAAAGCTCCAAAAGGGGGTTTTGGAGTGAAGGGAGTTTCTGTTTGATTTTTAATGTTCAAAATATAGGCCAGGTCTAGCCTGGAAAACTAAGATGACAGAGCGGGAAAACTGCCCTTTTCTGGCTGTCAATGACTTGAACAACAGGGCTTCCTCCTCTTCCCTTGGGACACTGTTCCTCTTTCAACCAGATCTGTGTTCAGATTCATTTTCTTCCCCTTAACTGAGGTTCATATAGCACTTTGGAGGGGTAATCAGCATATATATATAATATGCCAAGCATTGATCACTAGAGGCGCAGTGGGTCTTACCATTTGAGCTGTGGGTGAGAGTCGTGAGAAGCTTTCTGGGTAACTAAGCAGTTTATTAAGAAGGGTTTCCTTCCTGTGCATTGTACAGTATAAATACAAATTATGCCGTCAAACACCTGCGAACGGTTAAACTTTCTCTCTTCTCCTTATCTTGGTTCCACTATTTTTACCAACTTCCTCTTATGAAAAAATACGTAATTTTGCACTGCCCTCTAGGTTTGTTCTGCCTGCTTCTCACCTCTGCCTGTTGGTTTTATAAAGCCAGGTGCAGTGTGAAACTGAATAGTGGTCTAATTCAAAAACCTACGTGAGTCTTTGGATCAGGACCCACGGACCCAGTTGGGTATGTGTCTAACACTCACTGGAGCATACTATGGGAAGCCTTGGCTTTTACAATTGAGGATTTTTTGGCTTTTCCTCACAATGTATTTTTGATTCTGAAAAACAAACTCTTCTATTAAACCACACTGTATATCCAGCAAGACTCAGGTGAATTATAACGCAGTACAGGCACCAAAAGAAATCAGCAGGAACTCCGCTCCCTTAGACACTAGTGAGACCAGGGCTTCCACCTGTTTGCATTCTTGCACCTTATGTGTGCGCTTGGTATCTAGCAATCCAGACTCTTGAGCAAGAGCTTGAGGATAGAATTTACACGGTGAAGTGTGCAACCAGGTTTTGGAGGCTTTCTGAACAGATTTGGATAATCAGCATTTCGTTGCTACAGCAACTTGATTGGATCTGAACATGTTGCTGTCATCTGCAACCGTTCGCTGGGGCAGAAGAAAGTTCTAATGTTAGGCTGTAAGCACCCGCTTTGATTTGCCAAAGGCGAATCAGAAAAACTTAATTTAGAGGGGGAAAAGCTTAACAAAAGAGACATTTGATTTTTATTTTCCCAGTCTAGTCTGCTGTCAGCACAGCAGCTATTGCACGTTACTTCAGTCCCTACAATACATAGGCCTAGTTATACATTTGTAACACTAGGTGGCATTACTGACAATGGTAGAGAACCACCTAAATGCAGTAATGTTTACTCATAAGTAGCTTTATGACAGCAGTGCTGTTGGCAGGACAATAGTGAAGTGTCACGGTTTCCATTGTAGTGCAGTCTAATTGCAGTGGCTTTATTAATTTGCTGTTGGGAGGAGAAAAGCTCTAGGTTTAAAATTGGTAATGAACTCTCAGCCAGGGGATGAACTTTTTTCTTTAAATCTTTGCCCTAGGATTTAACAGTTTCAGATGTTCTTTAATTTTAAAAATAAAAGGAACACTTGAGGCTTTTTTTGATCTAGCACTTGAGTCATGCTGGAAACATAAGGACATGCGTGATGCTCTGGTCATCTCAGCAGTTTTCTGTGTATTGGTGTATTTCCGTCTAACACTACATGGCACCGCAGACACCCTCTTTAGACCCTGGGCTGCAAATCTGCAGAGAAATGTTTAAGAAGCTGTATGTTTCTGAAGAGAAATTTTACCAAGCAGGTTGGGTTCATTCCTGCCTGGTTGTATGACACACATTGCTGCTGCTTATCTTGGAAAGTCATCTGCGATTTACACAATAGCTGAACTTTCAAGAGCAGTGCTGCTGTATGCAGTGCACCAGAAAGCAGGATTGAGCCCTTGATGTTGCATGCATGAAACCTGCATTGTGCAGCTTATTGTGTAAGGAATCTGCATGCTAAAGTTCCCAAGGACACTGAGACTAAGTCCTCAGTGTATCTGCTCAAATGAATGACTAGGTGGAGGCGTTTTCCTATGAATATTACCCTTATGCCTGCCATGCAGAGGTAATTTACACACACAATAAATCCCAAGTTAATGTTGCTTAACTTTTTCTGCTGTGCCTAAATATTGCAGCATGCCTGATATACATAGTAGCTTCACTAAATGAGCTTGCAGTTTCTGCAATTTCAAGAAAAAGCTGCTAGGAGCTAAAGACACTTGAAATTGATGGAAAGATTCCTATTTACTTCAGTGGGCTCAGTCCTGAAGCATTTAGCAGAGTTCCTTTGCCAAGTTTGTTGGCATTAGCATTAAAAGGACCCTTTCAGACTAACAGTCTTGTAAGATGCCGTTTGCTATGGTGACAATTACTTTGTCAAAGCAGAAATCATTTTAGAAGCTGAATTAATCATCAGCCATTGGTTCTGTTTACTCTTTGCATTTTACTCCGTTGGCACTGTAAGATGAGAGAGGTCAGTGTCTCTCTCTGTCTCCTACACTAGCACCAAGTTGTCACGCTTGGGGTTACATCACCATCCGGGGGGGTGGTTAAATCTAGAAAAATAGTTTTTCACTGAAATCTTTAAAAATTGTGTGAACAGTTAATATTAAAGCACAATCACAAAACCCCTTTACTCTTAGGATTTTGGCTCTAACTTACCCAAACACTGCTTTAAGCCTGGTTTGTGCGTTTAAATGCCTTGTGAATGCTGTGAAAAGCTCACATTGGACCCTTTTCCCTTACGCAGCATCTTGTCTAATGCATATTGCTTTGTATTACCTGAGGTCTGCAAGATACCAGCATTTAGATGCTGTATCTGAGGTCCAGCTACTGAGGCCCTATTAGGTTTGGCTGAAAACTTGCTGTTGTATGTTTACCTGTGTGTTTTTCCTGTTTTCAAAATGTGATACATATTTATAAGGGATACTGATGTATAAACTATACTAGTGTTCTGCTTTAGGCAGAGGTACAATTTTATGTTAACTCACCCGTTAGATAGGACAGCTGTCTATCAAACATTCTTGCTTACCCAGCCTGTCGGGCCTCCACTCTCCTCTACTTTGTCCTCTTTATCTAGCTAGCACAGGTAACAATAGCCGCATAGATGGGGCGGTATGGACAACCAGCGTACAACATAAGAACGGCCCTACTGGGTCAGACCAAAGATCTATCTAGCCCAGTATCCTGTCTTCCGCCAGTGGCCAGTGCCAGATGCCCCCGAGGGAATGAACAGAACAGGGAATTGTCAAGTGATCCATCCCCTGTCGCTCGTTCCCAGCTTCCCAAGTCAGCGGGGATCCTGGGTACATACTTGGCTTGCTGGCCCATGTTGAAGCCCATGCTGCCACATCTACACTGCTGTTGTTACCAGTGCTTGCTAGATGGGCATGCCTGCCCGTGCTACTGTCAGACCTTCACATGCAGTGTAGACATACCCTTCTTCTTTCCTATGGCAAGAGTGGAACAGTGAAAGCAATGGCATCTTAAGGTCTCTTATCCATCCCAGAGCAGAGGGGGTAGCCATGTGGCTAGCCACGACACCTCCAGGATGAGCATGGATTGGGCAGTCATCCGTGATGTGTCCGAAAGTTGGCACCATTCCACAGTCACAGTTGGGCGATTTCCTCGCTTTCCATCTATGGAGTAAGTATGCGCATCCTCCACGTCAGGTGTGGATACAGTTTAGAGTTGTCCATATGCTCTGCGGGGAGGAGAAGCCCGACATTTGCACAGTTGGGTTGTCAATTCGATTTTTGTTTGGTATCTCAGCCCAGGTTTCAGACCATCTTCTGTGAATATCCTTATCTTCCACAAGAAGGCCTGTGGCTTGAGACCAGAAGGGTGTACTTGATTTTAGTCAGTGTCAATGGGAGTGTTTTAGGTCAGTGGTTCTCAACCAGGGCCCCCTGGGGGTCTGCGAGCAGGCTTCAGGGGGGCCGCCAAGCAGGGCAAGCACTAGACTCACTGGGGCCTAGGGCAGAAGGCTGAAGCCCCGCCACATGGGGCTGAAGTCTAGGACCCTGAGCCCCACCACCCGGGGCTGAAGCCTGAGCAATGTAGCTTTGTGGCCTGGGGCCCCAGGCAGTTGCCCTGCTTGCTACCCCTTAACATTGGCCCTGGCTTTTATATGCAGAAAACCAGTTACT